CTACAGGGTGGCCCCTGTGCGCAGGATCGCTGCCCCAGGTGTCAATCACCTGGTCTCGGCCAGTGATTACCCGCCACGCCCAGTGATTACCGAGGATCACCGACAGGGAGGAGGGCTGCATTGTTTACCAACAGCCCTTCTCCCTGTCAACTTGGGCACACTGCTCTGGATGGCTGAGCAGAGCCATCCAGAGCAGTGTGCTTACAGTGAAGCACACCCCCCACCCACTAATAATACACTCCCATCACACAGTTAACCCTTTGTTTTCCCCTCATGTTAACCCATTCCTACCCAGTGCCATTAGTACAATGTTAGTGCTTTTTTTTTAGCACTGATCAATGTATTGGTGTCACTGGGGATGTCAGTGACACCAAGTCAGTTCCCCCCAGTGCCAGAATGCCCACCGCTGTCCCACTATAAGTCACTGATCGCCGCCATAAGTTTCTGATCACTGCCATTATTAGTATAAAAAAAAAATTCCAGTATCTATACCACCAATTGTAAACGCTTTAACGTTCATGTAAACCAATTAATTTACACGTATTGGGATTTTTATTTTTTAGCAGACATGTTGCAGAATACATTTTGGCCTAAATTTATGACGAAATTTGATTTTTAACTTTTTTTACTGAACATATTTAATAGCAAAGTCCAAAATATTGATTCACTCTCAAAATTGTCAGTCTTTTTTTTATAGCGCAAAAAATAAATGCACAGGCGATCAAATACCAACGAAAGAAAATCAATTCTCACTCAATTTGTGGGAAAAAAAGGACATAAATTTCATTTAGGTGCAGCGTTGCATGACCGCAATTGTCAGTTAAAGTAACGCAGTGCCATAATGCAAACTACTCCTTTAACTGCCTCCTGACCTCCCTATAGCAGAAATACTGCTATAGGGTGGCACGGGTGCACAAAATCCCGTATATGTACCCGATTCACACTTCGTGGTTTTCACACCCCTCCCAGATAGTGTCAGATTGTCCATCAGTACACCAGTAATCACATTTAACCTCTTGATTGCCAGGAGCACGCTCATACACAATAAACCTCCATTGCTAGTATAGTGTCTGAACGGATCAATATCTTTTCTATCAGCACTATACCAGCATTCACATTAGTATAGTGTCCCCAAAAACACAGCGTTACCGGGATCAGCCCCGTCACCTGCATTTAGCTCTTACACTTACCCTCCTTCTTCCCCGGCAAGTGCAGTGTCAGTAGGCCACTGTCACTTGATACATTGCACACAAAACCACAGTGTTTGCAGAATCAGCCCTGATCTCTGCTAGCACTTGCCGGTAAATTTTGTTGACTCTCATATGCAGCAGAGTGCCAACACTAGTGCAGCTCTACGTTTTGGTGAACTGGTGAGCACCAGCGGCCTAGTACATGTGGTCTCACATACATAAGTGTAGTACAAGCTGGTGCGGTGGCGAGCACAAGTATTGTCCCACAACCACCAAGAATTTGCACACAGGTTTATAGAGCCCCTAGTATCCTTCCAGATGTGCTTGCAAAACCACAAATTCTGCAACACCCCAACTTCCCCCATCCACTGTCCAACCTGGAATTCAGATGGAAACAACAAATTTAACTACTTCCCTTGATTTTTTGGAGCCGATTTTCATGGAAGTTCTGTCTGCATTGATTGTGTATCAAAGCAATTTATATGCACATTTATTTATAGCTGCCAACCCAAATTCAAACATTGCCAGACCATTAGCATTGAAATCCATTACAGTTTCCAAATTTAAATTTTTTTTGGGCCTAACCCTGAATATGGGCATTACTAAAAAAAATGAATTGCAGTTGTATTGGTCCACAGACTCAATTCATCATATGCCTGTGTTCACTGCTGCCATGGCCAGGCATAGATATGAGAGTATAATGTGTTTTATGCATTTCAAGGACAATACACTCTGTCGTCCTCAGGGTGACCCAGAATTTGACCGGCTCCACAAAATTTGGCCCCATGTAAATCACTTTAACCAAAAATTTGCAGATGTCTATACTCCCCAGCAAAAAATCTGCGTTGATGAGTTCCTCATTAATTCTGGCTACCTTGCATTCAAACAATTTCTCCCCAGCAAGCGTGCCAAATATGGGGTCAAGATGCATAAGATCTGTGAGAGGGCAAGAGGCTATTAATATAAGATTTACGAGAGAAAAGATATTCACGTGGAGCCCCCCAGATGCCCAGACTACATGGGGAGTAGTGGCAAGATAGCTTGGGACTTGGTGTCATCCTCCTTTTTCCATATGGAGTACCACTTATACCTGGACAATTTTTAGTCAAGCGTGCCACTATTTAGACATTTGTACAATCTTGAAATGGGAGCATGTGGCACTGTGCAACCTAATGTGCACCTACAATTAGAAGTGGGTGGATGCAGGGTAGTATATTCTAATGGAGGGCATACCACACACTTTTCTGGTATAGATTTCTTCTCTTTTTTTTCACTCAGCCCATAGGCTGCATACAAAAAAAAAAAAAAAAAAACCATGGCATATATACCCAACAAGGACCAGCGACGTACTGGTACATCACTGGACTTTGAATGGTTATACTGTACCAGGATGATGCCTACAGCTGCAGGCATCATCCTGGTATAATTTTTTTTCAGCCGACTTTCATGTAAAGGCATTCCTAGTGGCTAATTAGCTGCAGGATTGCTTTTACAAGCAGCGGGAGAAGATGCCCCCCCTCCCCCGCTGCCTTCCATGGCCTCGGGCAGTCCCATGTAATTGGAGGAACCTGAGAATGCAGCCGGTGTTTCTGCCAGCTGACTATAGAGTTTATTGCAGACAGGACGGGTGCCAATCATCTTTATAGTCTAAGAAATTAGAAACTACGAGCATTTCAGTTTCGCAGGATATAAACAGCGCCATTTGTAAATTGGGAAAGCATCTGATCACACCGATCTTGGTGAGATTAAATAATGTAAGGGCAGAGGAGATATCTAGAGTCTGATAGAACCCAGATTTCTGAAAAAAGAATATATGACCATGCCCATTGAAGATATAGGGGATATTTGCGTTCCCTGTGATAGCATTAAAAGTGATAAAAAAAAAAAGCCCCCTCGCCCCCCACACACCTGCATGCTCGAGCTTTGACCCCGTGCCGATATGTAAACAGCGGTTGCACCATGCATGTGAGGTATCACCACGAACGTCAGATCAAAGGCAGTAAAATGCTAGCACTAGACCAATATATTGTGTTTTTGTGTATTAAAAATTTAAACAGTGTATTTTTTTCAAGAAATTTGCGTTTGAAAAATCCCTGTGCAAGTACTATGCGACATAGGAAATTGCAGCACCCACCATTTTATTCAATAGGGTGTCTGCTTTAAAAAATATATAATATTTGGGGTTCAAAGTACTTCACATGAAAAAAATCTGTATTTTTTTTCTAGGTAACAAAAAAGTGTCAGAAAAGGCTTGGTCTTCAGGTGGTTAGAAGAGTGAGTGATGTGTGGCATAAACTTCTAAAGCTGTGCATAAAATGCCCCCCCCCAAATGACCCCTTTTTGGAAAGTAGACACCCCAAACTATTTGCTGAGAGGCATGTCGAGTCAATAGAATAATTTATTTTATCACAAGTTTTTGAAAAATGATAAAAATATATATATTTATTTTTTACACAAAATTGTCACTTAAATGATTTATTGCTCGCACATGCCATGGGTATATGTGGAAATACTCACCAAAATACATTCTGCTACTTCTCCCGAGTATGAGGGTACCACATGTGAGAGACTTTTTGGCAGTCTAGCCAAGTACAGGACCCCAGAATCCAATAAGCACCTTCAGGCTTTTAAAGGGCTTTATTTCCTCATTACGCTTCTTGACTACCTATCACAATTTCGGAGGCCCTGAAATGCCAAGATAGCACCAAACCTCCCAAATGACCCCTTTTTGGAAAGTAGACACCCCAAGGAATTTGATAAGAAGCATGGTGAGTATTTTGCAGATCTCCTTTGTTGCCACAAGTTTTTGGAAAATGAAGAAAGATAACAAAAACATTTTTCTTTTTTTTTTATATATTTCAAAACTATGTGGCTAGGCTCCCAAAAAGTCTCACACATGTGGTATCCGCATACTCAGTAGTAGTAGCATAATGTATTTTGGGGTGTAATTTCACATATACCCATGGCTTGTGGGAGAAATACAGAATTTAAAGGACAAATTTGTTTTAAAAAAAATGTTTTTGTTATTTTCCAAAAACTTATGGATAAAAATGTTTTTTTTCCATGGACTCAATATTCCTCTCAGCAGATAGCTGGGTGTCTACTTTTTGAAAAGAGGTAGTTTAGGGGGGTTTATATTGTCCTGGTATTTTAGCACTTCAAGAAATGTGATGGGCAGTCAGAAAGTAAACGCTGTGTAAATTACATTATCTATACCATAGTTTGTAGATGCTGTAACTTTCACACAAAGCAATCAATATACACTTATTGGGACTGTTTCACCCCAAAACATGTAGCAGAATACATCTTGGCCTAAATTTATGACAAAATTTGAGTTTTTGGATATTTTTTATGCCAGAAATGAGAAAATATTGTTTTGTATTTTTTTTCAAAAATGTTTGTTTATAGCGCCAAAAATAAAAAGCGCACAGGTGATCAAATACCACCGATAAAAAGCTCTATTTTGTGTGAAAAAAAAAGGACGTAAATTTTATTTGTGTATAGAAAATAGTTTTTTTTTCAATCTGGGTGAAATAGTTCAGCGCCGAACAGCAAAAAGAGGCCTGATCATTAAGGGGGGTAAATCCTTAGGATGGAAAGTGGTTGAAAAAGTAATGTGAATTAAAACAGTTGCAGATAGCAACAATTAGGAAATTTGCTCTAAAAAAAAAAAAAACACATGCAGCCTGTATGGAATCCAATCCCTGGTCATTTAACCGCCTCCCGCCCGCCATATAAGGTAATGACAGGTGTAAGGCGGTTCTTTCATTCTGGGAGGACGTCATATGATGTCCTCCCACTCTAACCGCGTATGCATAGCTCCGGGGGCGTGCAACGCGGCGATCGGTGGTGCATGGAAAGAGCCGAAGAGGTCGGCTCGATCATGTGATCAGCTGTGTCCAATCACATTTGATCGCATGTAAATAGAGAAATGCCAGTTATTGACATTCCTCTCCTCACGAGCTGTCACGCTGACAGCTCGTGAGGAGTGGAGAGTCGGTATTCGGCATCCCTCAGAGGGGACATGTACACTGATCATCAGGGCACTGATGATCAGTGTGCCCTGATGATCAGTGTAGCCCCAGCAGTGCCACCTGTCAGTGTCCATCAATGCCAGCTGTCAGTGCTCATCAATGCCACCTGCCAGTGCCCATCAGTGCCACATATCAGTGCCCATCTGAGCTGCCTTTCAGTGTCACCTATCAGTGCCAGTCACTGCCACCTATCAATGCCGGTCAGCACCACCTATCAGTGCCATATATGCGTGCTGCCTTTCAGTGCCCAGCAGTTATGCCTGTCAATGCCCATCAGTGCCACCTACCAGTGCCTACCAGTGCACATCAATGCCACATCAGTGCCCATCTGAGTTGCCTTTTAGTGTCTAGCAGTTATGCCTGTCAATGCCCATCAGTGCCACCTACCAGTGCCTCCTCATCAGTGCCCATCAGTACCACCTATCAGTGCCCATCAGTGCAGCCTCATTAGCGCACATCAGTGAAGGAGAAAAATCACTTATTTACACAATTTTATAACAAAAACTAAGAAAAAAAAAGTTTTTTTCAAAATTTTCAGTAGTTTTTGATTTGTTTAGCAAAAAAAAAAAAAAGAGGTGATTAATTACCACCAAAAGAAAGCTTTGTCTCAAAAAAATGATAAAAGTTTCATATGGGTACAGTGTTGCATGACCGCGCAATTGTCATTCAAAGCGTGACAGCACTGAAAGCTGAAAATTGTCCTGGACAGGAAGGTTGTATAAGTGCCCTGTAGGCAAGTAGTTAAACAAACTAGCAGAGATAACATTGACATCTCTGACCAAATATTGCTACCTGGTCCCCTTTGGCAAGGTCCCCCCCCTCAGTGTTGAGGACATGTGACCTGGTATGAAAAGGATGGGGGGTAGGTCTTTTGCACGGTGTCCAGTGTTGCCAACCATCTGTAAAATTATGGATGGTTAGCAATTGTACATACAGATATGGACACGGACATCCATGTTGCTAAAGATCCTCCATCTTGTGTCATTCTCACTCCAAATCAGTCCCCCCCCCTCCCCTTTTTGTTGAATGGCATGTGGTCTGGTGTGGCTGAGTTCAGGAGTGCACAGGGCACAGCTGGATACCCTTCATGGTTGTAAACCCAATTAGCTGATGCCATGGTGTCTGTCCGACTCTTGCTCTGAGCTGCTCGCACAGCTATAAACCCTCTAGTCTCTGGACTTAAAAGCAGGGGCGGACTGACCATTTGGAAACTCAGGCACTGCCTGAGGGCCCGGGGTCAGTAGGGGGCCCCATGAGATGCCCCTGGTACCTTTTTCATAGGCTTTTTTGAGTTTGGCCAAGGACACAGAGGCCCCATGATCCCCTATTGCCTGGGGGTCCCATGAGTTGTCAGTCCGCCCCTGCTTGAAAGCATTCCAGAATAGCATTAAAACATACATCTCATTTGGAAACCACTTTTTCATCCAATTTCATAACTTCTCGCAGGAAATATGTACAATGAAACAAAACATATATTCAAACAGGTCAGTTTAATGCGAGTCACCTGATACCTTACATCCCTAGATTACGTCTACCCGAGAGCAGAAAGTGATATCTCCTTAACCATCCCAAGCAAATATGTCATATTTGGTGTCTGGACGTTCAGAATATCATTCTGCATATTATCCTACCAGTGGATAGGATGCTACATGTACCTATGGAAGGTTATTGACCAGGGTATAACTTAAGAGGAATTTGGTCCTAGCCTGGGTGTCCGCCTAAACCCCCCTCCCTAAATGAGGCGATTGGCCCTTGGCTTCAGTAGACACCCCCCCTGCTGGTGGACTAGAAAAGAGGCTGTCAGGCCTGAGAGAGATAAGATGAAGAAATTCTCCCTTTTAACATCAGGAACCAACTTTGGGAGAAATGGTACCCTTTTGCTCAGGACACTTGAATCTGCTTAAACCAAGTACTCTGGCAAGTATTCTACGTCTCTAAACTTCTGTTATCTCTCTGCTGTGTTATTGCTCTCTGTATTTATATATATATATTGGCTACATCTTTTTCTGTAAATATTTTTATTGCACTATTTTGACCTTTTTAGTAATAAATCCTATTTTCTGAAAAGTGTTGAACTGTTTCTAAAGCTCTTTAATGCAAACTAAGAATCCCTGGCTCTGAAGAGCGCTACTGTGTGTTTTAAACTTCTGCATACATCTGCCTGCGGTGAAAGTGTGTATACAGATGCTTATTCAAACATCATAATGTTACTGCTAAGATTGGTGAGTTTCCTCCTCCTCTGTACAAAAAAAGGTGGTGGTGACAGTGTGAAGGGTTAATTGCGTAATTAACCTGACCCAGTATTAATCGCTCTCAGGCTGCGGCACATAGATTGTGGTCCAGTGAGCTGGAAAATCTCTGTGCAGGGTGCAGCTGAGTGTGGCATTGTTATGCACCTGACAGCGTGGTTTTAGATTGGCTAGTCCTTCGGTCACGAGTTAGTGAGAAAAACTGGAGGTCTGACGCAGCGCCCGTCACAGATGGCTTTTAAAAAACTTTTCTCCTGTCCATAAATGTTGGTGGACAGAATAGTGTACTTAAAATCGTAGGCTTTTTGCCTGAACTGAACAGCGCATGCAAAGTTCCAGAGCTAGTTGAAAAGTAAACTGCCAGGCTAGGCCTCAGCTCGGGTAGAAGGGCCTGTTCAAGTGTAAGTAGACATCATGGAATGCCTTTTCCCATCAGCCACCCGTCATTCAAATTGCATAGAAGTCACAGCCAGGCCAGGCCAGGCAACAGTCTGCTACTTGTCCAGTGTCCACCCACCACACCCTGTCTTCACTTCCCTCTCCAGCCTGATAGCAGTCTATGGAGCAGTCTCTCTCTGTGTTAGGGCAGTCTGTGGAGCAGTCTCTCTCTGTGTTGGGGCAGTCTCTCTGTTGAGGGAGATCTCTCTATGTGACACTGGGGACTTTGATTTACGGGATACTCTGATGTAAAAGGGGAACTCTGCAGACTCCGATCATGTAATAGGGCACTGGGAACCTTTATTTTAAGGAGGGAATGATGGGGAATTCTGATGTAAGGGGGGACTCCATGGACTATGATATTAGTAGGGAATGCTGGCAACTTTGATTGAGGGGGGTGGACTCTGTGGACTCTGATGTAAGGGAGGAAACTGGTGTGAGGGGTAACTCTGTGTACTCTGATGTATGGAGGGAATGCTGGGGAGTTTGATTTAGGGGGAAAATCTGTGGACTCTGATGTAAAGGGAACTCTGATGTAAGGGGGAATTCTGGACATGGATGTAAGAGGGGAACTTTGATGTGCCCCCAGTCGCAGCACACTGCCAAGTTGGCTCCAGTGACAAGGAGGGATGGGATGATGAGCTCACTGACTGTACTTGCGTGTCTGAGAGAACAGAGGAGAAAAATGAGGAGGCACAACTCCAATGAGGCAGGATGTTCTCCAGGGGCAGGCGTAAGGACAGTAATCCTATGGCATCACACGATAGAGCTCCACAGGTGCAGGACGCTGCTGACTCCCCAATGACTTCCAAAAGTTCTATGATGTGGGCTTTTTTCAACACGTGCAGCAGACTGTAATGTTGCTGTTTGAAGTCTCTGTCTGAAGCAGATCAAGCGTGGCCAAACACCAGCTGATTGGGCACCACATGCTTAACAAGACATATGACGACCTGCTATGCAGCCCATTGGCAACAGCACCCGAAAGGCCCACATCATAAAAAAGTGCAGACTTCTCCTTGCTCCTCATCTGGGATCTCTACCCCTATATAAAACCTCAAGCCTACTCAACAGCTTCCACTGAGAGAAGTGATGGTATAGCAATGGGTGCAACAGGTCCTTGCACCCAATCTGCTAGCAGTACACCACCTGTTGGTTTCAGCAGGCACATTTTGCTACCCCAGTTGCTGAACCATAAAAAAAAATATTGTCATATCCATCCACATGCTCAGCTTCTAAATGCTAGCTTGGCCAAATTGCTAGCGTTACAACTGCTGCGTTTCCATCTGATGGACTCTGCCCCCTTATGTGAATTTGAGGAATGTGCTGTACCACAGTGGTAGGTTCAGCTCACAAGTTCAGCTCTGTACCATCACATGGAAGGAAATGTTTTGGCCTCGTTGGACAGGGCGGTCCACATTACTGCTGGCACGTGGTCCAGCAGGCATGGTCAGGGATATTACATATCCTTCACGGCGCACTGGTTAACTCTGCTGGCAGCTGGAAAGGATGCAGGACAGGGTTCAGTGCTGGAACATGTTCCACCACCACGCCTCCAAAAAGCTAGTGGCGATTCTGCCACATCTGTCTGCTCCACCCTCTCCTCTTCCTCTATGGCCTCTTCTGCTGAATTGTCCTCTGAAACAGCAGTGCTCCCTAACCATTCAAGAGGCTACGCAAGCAGTCAGGTTAAAAGAAGACATGTGGTAATTCAGCTGGTCTGTCTAAGGGACAGGAGCCGCACCGGGCAAAGATTCTGTCAGCTCTGCAGGGGCAGGCTCAGAGGTGGTTGAGGCAGGAATGGTTGTGTGCAACAATGGCACCAACCTTCTTTCTGCACTCAGACAGGGACACTTGACAAATGTTCCGTGCTTGGCTTGGTGGTGCAGCATTTCTTGAACAAGTACCCAGCTTTACAAGATCTTCTGAGGCAGGCCAGAAAAGTCTTAGGCCATTTTCATACATGGCCAGTGTTCAGCTGGCTGACATTTAATAGGAATTCAACCTGCCCACCAACCGACTCATTTGGGACAAGCCCACCAGGCGGAACTCAGCATTGGTAATGCTGCAGCTGCTGCACACGCAGCAGAGTGCCATCAGTGAGTACCTATGTGAATATGGCACAAGGACAGGGTCAGGGAAGCTTGGCTTCTTTTTGCCACGCCAATGAATGCTGATAAAGGATGCATGCATTGTCCTGTCACCATATGAGGAGGCCACAAGGATGGTGAGCCACAACAATATATGCATCAGTGACACTATCCCTCTAGTCTTCCTGCTGGAGCACACACTGCGTGGAATCCTGGACAGTTCACTTGAGGCAGAATAGGGGGAGGAAGAGGAGAACTTCCTTTACTCTCAAGGCTCCTTTTATTCAGATACCATTCCTGTGGGACCGCAGAACACACAGGAGGAGGAGGAACAGGAGAAGGAGGATGTAGCTGGCCAGCTAAGACCAGTCCTAGGTTGCTAATATGGTTCACATATATGTGTATACCAAACTGCCAATAACCTCAGTACAGTGTATATGTGCATATGTTAAAGCCAAAAGCAGAATCATTACTGTAATT